TAACAGGAAAAATAGCTGAATTTGCAAATAAAAAATATAAATCCCATAGACAAGTTCCTGATATGGTTTATGATGAAATTAACAATGCAATTTAAATAAACTGTTGTAAATAAAAAATTACTAAATTAAGAAAGATCTACAAATTGAAAATTGAGAAAAAATTTTTATTCCATAAATTGATTCCTTTTTTAAAGCTGAGTTCAATGGTGGTATTTTTTTAAAAATCTGATGTGTGGATCACATGATATTTCAATTTTTCTAAGTTCCCATTATAGGCCTTCTGCACTGTATTAAGAGTGGGAATTTTATTCTGCAAGGTTATGATTGCATTTACGCTGATTTTCTCACATTCCTCAATATCAAGCTTCTGGAGATTGCGTAAATTTGCTAATGTGGACATAGATACATCAGTAATATTGCAACCTTCAAGATAAAGTTGTTCAAGTTTTGGACATGATCACACTATTATACAAATGGGATCATCAGATATCCAATTCCAACTAGCATTAAGATATTTGAGATCAGGACAGCACTGAGCGATTTTTTTAACAGAAACATCGGAAATACCCTCATTATTAAATTTATCATATGAACTGTTCCCATTTGCAAAAGAAAAACTAAGCATATTTGGATATGAGGTAGCTATAACGCTAATTCCATAATCCATCACTTTTTCACAATCGATCAAGTGGAGATGTTGAAGGTTCGAACACAGATGAGCGATTTCTTTTAATGAGATATCAGTAATGTGGGCACCACCTATATTGATATATTTTAACTTTTGACACGACTTGGCAATTTCTATAATAGAAATATCAGAGATGTATTCACTATATCCTAAATAGAGATAGGTTAAATTTGGGCATGAAGATGCAATATTATAAATAGTTTTATCTTTGATACGATGACGTTTACGGTGGAATTTAAGATATATTAAGTTCGGGTATACGATTTTTCCAATTGTTTTGCTAGAAAATCCATGACAGTTGCTTATAGTCAAGCGTCGCAAGTTTGGACATAGACCTCTAATCTGATATAAGGTTCCACCAGAGACTTTACATCTAGAAATATAAAGTTCATTTAATTATGAAATATAGAGAGGTTTTCGTGTATGTACCACTTTGAATTTTTTCCAGTAGATAAGGGATTTTTTACAACCAACAAATTCGACTCTTTTCCATAATATTGGGGCGGAACATAAATACCATAACCGGTTGACGAATAAGGTCAGGTATAATGTTTTATCTTCAGCAAGATATGAGAAAATTTCAGTTAAAATTTCAGGGAGATATAGAGGATGTAATTTAATGTACGACATAGGTACTTATATTTGTGAATTTATTCTTTATGCAATAAATATCCTTTTTTAAGCAATTCACTTTTGATATAGGGGAATAAGTCACATGTATATGGTATTTCAATGAGATCTATGCCCTCTCTTTTACAAATCTCCCACTTTTTTTGGTCACGCGTCTGTTGGCTATCTAAGTCTATCTTGCCTTGCTTATGATTCTCAGAAAAATGTTGAGGGCCCTGGAATTCGTATGCTAATTTTAACTCTTTGTTATACCTGTCTAATTGCATCCCATTCAAAAATGACAGTTTACAAGATGGAAATTTCTTACCTAACAGATCCTCAAAAATATATCGGGTGGATCGCTCCCCTTTAAAATGAGGACAGATAGGACACCATTCAAATTTCTTAGCAATTAGTGGAAATGGATATCTAATTGCCCAATCTTTGCTACCAAGTAAATCCCTTAATTTCTCATCACCTTCTTCTCCCATGAATGAACATAGATAAAAACGCCTAGCAGGTGAATACCTTTGAATTTCATCTTTAAAAATATTTAGGAACATGCCTTCACTACATGGA